CTGAACCCTCCAGGCACATGACTTGTTCCTTTTAAAGAGACCAGAAGGGAGCTGGGAACCTAAAATTGCTCAGAAGATGTAGCCCCAGCACCAGTTTCCCTGAATTGCACCCCATTCTTCTCATTAGATTAGCTGGGTTTCATCTGCTGGGGACTGGGTATGTTTCTTTTCTGAGCCTGTTTCTAGGTCTCAAGTCTAAGGCAAGGGGTTGGTTAGGAGGTGATAAAGGTGAAGGGGAAGATGAAGGAGGAGTGATTCTTCTTCTTTAGACCGGAAGGGCCAGTTTTCATCATTTTGTGTAGAATTTCTTCTTATGACACTAGGAATTTGTGCAGTGTAGATGGTTTATGCAGATGTTCCTGGCTAATCACTGAAGTCCAGGGAAATAGCAAAGACACCATTTGGGCCGAAGTTATAGGGACCTGAAGCCAGCTAACAGGGCCCTTAGTAGTCATCAAGGGCCCCAAGGAGATCATCCTGGGGCAGAAGGATAGAGCAGGTTCTACATGGCTCAGCCATCCTATCCCTAGAAGAAGGTCTCTGTGTTGCTAAACATGAATGATCTGGGCTTGGTCTATTATAGGAACAGAGAGTCTTCCTGCAGAAAGGGTCATGGCAACCCAGCTATGAAGGGCAAACCCTCTGGGAGGACCCTACACCTGATGCTGAAGGCATAAACAATTTTGTTAGGGAAGACTCAAATGTTTTGCTCTCCACATATGTGAGAGAGAGGAGACTAGATAGGAAGCAGCAAGTGTAGCTGCAGGGGAGATATAGGGAAGCAAAGCCAGCAGCACTGGCCAGAGGGGGAGGATGGACAGTGGGGCAGTCTCAGCCAACCCCACAGGAGGTTTTGAAGCTCAGATGAGCTCTCTGACTTGTTGGGAGTTGAGGTGAGGGGCTGGGACTTTACGCCCTGGTGTGATGAGGCGTTGGATACTAGCTGCTGTAGGAAGGGATGTGGCCTTGTGTGAGGGGGCTGTCTTCAGTGAAGATGACTCCCTAGGGACTTGTAGCTAAAGGCTGAGCGCTCCTTGATACTAGTGGAATAGGTCCTTCATTCTTGAGGGGGGCTCGGCACAGCTCTAGGGGAGCCCCTTTAGGAATGGTCTGGGGTCTCTGCTGTGCTCTTGCTTGTCATCAGCATTCTTGTTTGGATAGAAGGGAGAGGGTAGCTGGCCTTACTTGGCATGGGGATATACGGGGTCCAAAGAATTGTCTCAAGACCTAGACTGCTAAGCCTCTGGCTGGTGTGCATGGCTGTGCCCTGCAAAGGGTCTGGCTACTGTCAGTCACACAGAGAGCCTTTACTTGCTGTCTCCAGTTGACAAAGGTGTGTCCCATCAGTGCTGTGGGCTGTGACAGGGCACAATTCCCAGCTGCGGAGCATTCAACAAGTGTCTGGCTCCTCACCTCTGTTATCTCCAAGTATCACACCAAATCAGCTGCTCAGGTATTATTGTCTTGATTTACAAAGGAGGAAGTGGCTCAGGCATTAAGAAAGTACATGTGGGGGGCTGGGGATTTAGCTCAGCGGCAAAGCGCCTG